CCTAATCGTATATAAACAAATGAATACATTCAGGGTTTAGCTGTGTGTAGAAAGCCACTGCACCAGTAACATACCCATCAAGTTCATAAGTACTTACTGAAAGACTCATCGGTCAGCTCTCTCCATGCTTCGGTTACAGTTACAGTGCTTATGCTTTTCTCGCCTTCATAGCCTGAGAACATACAGACAAGTAAGTTCTATCTACCAATTAAAATGAGAAAGACACAACTCTGACAGCTGAAAAGTGTTTCCAAAAAAGCCCCTTATTTCAATGATATATGATGGCATTGGCATGGCATTAAAAATGTTAACGCTACCTCTCTGAACTTCTGCAGGTAGAGCTTCAGAGGCTCCACATACATGTCGAAACCCAGTGGTGGACATCGCGAACAAGATGTCTTCCCCGTTTATCGTCTTGCGTTTCTCTTGATGGCACCTCTCGCTGGCTTCTGAAGTGATAAAACTGATGACTCGCTCACACACTCCTGCACACACTCCTTGGCGTCTTTTGGCAATCTGATGGATGGACGGAGGAATTTTTTTTTTTAATAACATGCATTTGACTTGAAAGTTTCACTTTCGCTTAGGAAAACAATAAATTAATTAATAGAAAGGTGATCAAAATGTGCATCTTTTTAATACGTAAACAAAAATAATTAACATTTAAAAAAGGATTTAATTTCTCCAAACAAAGCCAGAAAAAATAAATTACCTTTCCTGTTTGCGGTATTCCATTCTTCATGATTCGGGCAACGTTAGCGATTGGGAGATAAATGTCTTGCTCCCGTAGGTTATCTTTGCTTCCATTCCCATCCTCGTGGTCGTTGAGTCCCTCATCACCTTCATCTTTACAAAATAATAATAATAATAAATGCATAATATAAATAATAAATCAATAATTCAGAATCATTTAAATATCACTTCTTTTTTATTTAAATATTTTATTTTTATATATAAATTTAATTATTATTTACAATTATATTTATTTAAATGACTCCAAATTATTCATTTAAATATTAATAAATTATATAAAATATATATAAATACTAAATAAAGCATTTGGATTATTTTATATGATGTTTGACGGCACTTACCATCCTGAGTTTGGAGAACAAAGTGACTACCAGCCATATATTCTCCTGTTATGCCAAGCTGGGAGGCATCTGTGGTTGAACTGTCTCCGTCCATCTGAAACATAAATTAAATTGTATTACATTTGTACATATTGCTCTTGTCTTAAAACCAAGTGACTTGCCTATCTAGTACAATATTTTGGGCCATCACAGAGCACTATTGGACTTATATTTACACGTGGGCATCCAATATTTTGAGACAGCCATCTTGTCTTCATATATGCACAATTAATAAACCATTCATATAAATGTAACCTTTATTTTATTCAGTTATAAACGTTCATTCAGAACTGTCAGCTCAATGGATCACTTTATTCCACACAAACATATCTTTTTCATTTGAATAAACAACAAAACAAACAAATTTTATAGTTTGCTATTCATATATCTACACACACACCTAGGATATTAAAATATGTCATGTGATATAAATGACATTGGTAAAAAAAAAAACTGCCTGGTTTGAATGATTAATAATAAGACTCTTCTGTGTATAGTATATTATATTGTATTGACATACCAAACCACATTGGTGTATTTTATTGGCTAAACAGCCGGTGATGATCAATGAACATGTAGATTAAACATGCTCAAACCACATTTCCCCCTGAAATATTCACACAAAATGCTGCAATGAATTATTTTAAGTTAATTGATAAACGCATTAAAGAGCAGAAGAGGGCAGTTAACAAGGACGACGAGCCAAGGCACCAGTGTATCCTTCAAAACGGGTCGTAGTAAACAAAGGGGCCGAGCACCATGACGGGCTTTTTACAATAATTGCCACAACAGCGAGCTGCTTTTCATATCGCGCGCTTAATTTCTCATTCTCCCCGCCAACTAATAATAAAACACTCGCACGCGGAGATTTCCATTCGATGTAACAAAGTATGGGTTAGCAATCATTGGCCGGAGCCGCACACTAACCTGCGATGAAGCCCTGGTTGGTTCGCGTCTCAGTTCGGCCGTTTGGTTGGACAGAAAATGGCTGCGGGAGAGCCAGTCCCTGCGCAGGGCTGAACAGTCCTCGAGGAGGAGCCTCACTCGGACACCAGGTGGCGCTACAGGCAAGTTTAAAAATAAAACAGAAATGTATTGAAACAGCGCCTCCCATTGGTAGTGATTGTTACACTGCACTAAAATTGGCTTGAGAAGATCAGTCTACTGCTTAACACGTACATTCCTTTAATAGATATCAACGTTTTCTGTTTCGTTATATCAAGGTCACTTTTCTGTATCTTTATATTTATTTCTGATACTTTTCAAATGTTTTGTGTGTACAGAAGTGGACTTAAGTCTTGAACAAAACAATTCATCATAAAAACATGAGATTTAATTTTTTTTACCCATGACAGGGTAAAAAATGCTCCCTAATGCATTATATATATTTAAATGTGTCAGTGAAAAGAAAGGTAAATGCGTGATGTAGACGCGCGAGAGATCACTTCCGGTGTAAAGTCTGGAGACGGTTGGACTTCGACGGCTGTTAACCAACAAGAGGTAAAAACTATATAAATACTGTTCGTTTTCTCACACAAACCACTCGTTTCGTTTCTTAGACCATCAATGTGTACTTACATTCACGAGTCTTTAAATTATGTTTAATTTTGACTTCGCTGTGTATTCTCTTTGAGGTGGACCCCCTAACTGCATTATGACTGACAGACAACACCGGTTTGACCGAAAAATGTCAAAATTGAAAATACTGTGGAAACAAAGACACCTAACTTACATCTTGGAAACCCTTGAGGTAAGCTAAAACGTTTCAAAAATTAATTTCAAAGTGAACTATCACTTTAATGATTTGCTTTGAATAATGTACAGTAACAATATAAAAATCTGTTATTTAAATGTTGTTTGTATAGGCTAATCACAATCATGCAAATATTTTTTATGAAATGTTTCTCACATAGTATAAAGAAGTCTGTTTACATTCAGTTGCCTGGATGGGCATTATTCAGAAATTAAAATAAAAGAGTTGAATAAAATAAAATTCTAAATTCCTTTTAGAAAAATTAAAACAATTTCTAATGTTGTCCTTTTGTAATATCATGCATGTAAAGACAAATTACTAGTAAAATGATTTTATTGAACTGTGGATATTAAATAATGTTAAATAACTATAAATGTTATGCGTGGTAAACTAGGTAAATCATTTATACAAATTATCCTCATTAATTTTCTTCCTTTTATCAATCTACATTAGCATTGATACATACACTTTTTAATGTCCTTCACAGCAAAATATAATAAAATAATAAAACTAGCAACACCAAGACATTATTGTTTTAAAATAACAATAACTAATTAATCGAAAAATAAAATGCATTAGTAAATTGTATAGGCTGCCCAACGCAAATATTTGGACATCAATACCATTTAATTGATTGGCCTGCCACATCTCAATGTACCTAAATACAAATAATCATAAAACATATTTATTAGAACCAAACTGAAAATGCTGCTCTAAATACTAACCAAGGAAGATGAGTGCAAATCAGTCATAGGTTTAACATATGAAAACAGCTGTTCTTTATTCAGTGAAGATGGTCATGTGACTTGGAGAAGTACAATTGTCACATGAGGCAGCATGTGTGATTCATTGAACTGCATGTATGGGACGGATTGATATTTCAAATATTTCAAGTAAAGTCATCCACTAATGTTCAACTGTGCCGAGAAATGTAAACCAGCACATCAGATAGTGTTCTGTTTAATGAAATATGACAATGTCATTTCAACATTTATGTCACCAATGACAATAGAAGAAAACAGAGTGCTAGAAAGGCAGTTCCCAACAAATCCGCCAGAGCCGTCAGATACGGGATAGAGAAGCTATCAGGGTCCCTGCCGCATTTCCACAAGCAGTGAACCATCACATCAGCGGTGCCCAGCAGGAGAAACACCTGAGTGGAAGAAGATTCAGAGTCAAATACCTCTCCTTTCCTCAATAAGACACACGCTAACATCACTTGCCTGTGTGAAAGCTGCTACCAAATAGAAGGAAATGAAGAAAGCAGTGGGTGGAGCCGGGCTGCCCTGTATTAGGTAAATGGTGTAGACGAAGATCAAGTGACCTGGGATGGCCAACATGAGCAGCACCTGTGCTGATCTTCCGTTCGGCCCTGTAAGAAGCAATGCAAAGGTGATTTTTGTCTTCGTTCTTAAACCTTAAAGGGTTAGTTCACCTACCCTACCCTACCCTTCTCCTTCGACTGACTGAAACCGGACCTCATCGGACAACAGAACCTTTTTAGTTGCACCGAGTATCACCGCGATTTCGGATGCAGCCTGTTTTGGAGTTCTCCGGACTATATCTATCTCTACTTGGAATTGAGCACCAAATGCAGAGCTGGTGCAAACATATCTACATCGCTATGATCAGATGCTTTCTTAGCTACTGTTTTTATTTTGTTATTGAGAGGAAAGCACGCAGCACGTATTTACATCTAAACGTCGCTCCAAGCAGTGTGGATGGCGTCAGGATGTTCGCTAACAGTACACTGCGGCAAAGGTACACCACAAAGTCTTTTACCCCAAAGTAAAGAATACAAACTTATATGGCCTTTACCTGTGGTGTAAAAGCTGCGGCAAGGACAGTAACATCGTTTAGAGTCGTCTGGAAGTTCGCCCGGCGGACAGTGAAAATGAAGATACGTGGCTATACGACTAGCCTGGACGGAAACCAGATTACCACCAACACCTTAAGGAAAGGTTGACATTGGAAATTTAAAACAGTCACTCACAGTTGATCAGAACACAGCAAGTGAGTTGTGTTTGACCCACCATTTATAACAGGAGTGTAGAGAACAACTCCCTCAAGCAGTGGATCTGTGACGGTTCGGTCCAGAATCAGTCCTCCAAGACTGGAGATAAGTAGGTTGTACCAACATAATTGCAGTTGAATCAACACAAAATGGTCCATTCTAGACTTATATTTATGTACTAAGTGGGGAACATTTACCTGCTGATCACCAGTGCGGTTATTATTGGCTCCCAGCTGGAAAACAGCAGTTTTTGGCTTTCAGGGTGCCGAAATGAAAGAATGGCCCACACCGGCGTCAGGGACAGGAAAAAAATACACACCAGGTAGGTAATATAAGGGTAAGGTTCTATAAACAAAGAGAGTTTCAAAATATAGGGTGTTAAAGGGAGTAAAAATAGCCCACACCTCTCAGTAAACTAATCTTTGTCCAGTGAACTGGTCTTTCATTCTCACCCATGCTGTAAAATAAGCCTTGACTGATGATGGCGAGCAGTCCAAGTGTGATGAGGTCACCAAAACTGGCAGCAATGGGCGTGGCTATGTTGTCAGGGTTGACGCCCACCTTCTTGGACCCAAAAATCACACCAACCATTAAGATCCCTGGAAAAATATTAATATATCAAATCCATGCAGAATTTATACAAGTGGTCTTAAGACAAATAGGAAAAAACAGCAGCAGAAGCGCAGCAGACCTGTTCTGACCAGATACATTACCATAGTCTCTATTACCAAACCAATCTCCTGAGTTGAAATAATGTTCAGTGCTTAACCTTGTTTGTCATCACTAAGGAACTGCATCCATTTATGCCGAATGCTGAGCTATGTGGCCGGAGGATATTGGGTCTATATTCGGGACCTGTGTGGAAAATGGGTTTGCGTGGCCAAGATCACAAGCCATAAGCCATTCAAGTGAGAATAACCTCATGATCAGCACCAACAAAGATGACTTCCTCCATATTTGATGAGCATGAAGCATTTAATGGAGTTATAAATGGTCTATTTTAAGTCGATAAAAATTGGTCACAAATTTGGATGCAAACCCTGCAGCAGAGATGCTGTGAACGCCGTCACCACGCTGCAACAGCAAAGCAGAGCTACATGGTTCATGAAGAGCTCCTCTTCCAGGATCCATCCAAGAGCCGATGCTACAAGAGCAGCCAGGAAGCCCAGAACTGTAGCTTGTATCTAAAGAGACAAATTAAGTTGAATGAAGAACAGAAGCCACACAAGTATCAAATGAGTAAATGAGCTGCAGTAACTTGTTTGAGGGCAAGATTTCCGACGATCAGGTCCCACTTCTCGCCTGAAGAGTTCATTCTGCCAACGTTCACCTGCAATATTGATATTGAAGAGTAGAATGACGTATTTGTTTTATTTAAGCAATATAAAGCATTACAAAAATAAACCTTGTTTAGTTCAAAACGCTATGTATAACCGCTGAGGGCTGTTTTTATTCACAGCATGGTATGAAGTTCATCACCATGACAAAAAGCATGTGATGAAGGGGAAAGTACACAACGCAGATACAATACAGCAAATCAGACTTCATCAACAAGGAGGAAAAAGTAGATCATCTGTAAAGTTCCCCATTCCCACACATATCAATCAATGCATTTCCATGACTTTTCCAGTCGTTCCAGCAGATTAATGAATTTTAAATATTTTATTAATTTATGAATAATTAAAACAAATTAGTTCATATATTTCCATTATTTTGTCCCATGGAACCAATATAATATGCATCCCTGAATCTTTTTCTGGGGAAAAGCATGGCTTTTAGATGACCAGCCTGAAAATGAATGCTGGTCCAGTGGGATTTAATAGGTATATAGATAACATAGTAACCTTACAGCGGTGGAGAGTCTTGAGGCCAGTGTCATTTCCAGGTTCCCCTTTAGGCCCAGTAAAGGTGGAACAAGGATGAAGATCTCGGTCACAGAAGTGAAAACGTCCCAGTGCTGATTTATAAACACAAGACAACAATTTATAGTCAAAAATCCCAAACATCCACCCAAGATCATCTCCCACACTCACCTGCACAAGGTCCAGCAACATCCCCGCCAGCACCGTTCCAAAACCTGCCAGGAGAAATGGAACCAAAATCTGTAACACCATGGCCCAGATCGACTCACTTGGCATCTCCTGGCCATGAAAATTCTGAGGCTCATCCTGCGTTATGGTCCAGGAAACCGATGTTGTCCCGATGTTGTCCTGATGTTGTCCCAGTTTTGTTCCCGCATTAAAAAGCAGAGGATCTGACTCTGAAAACTCCTTACTGCAGATACGAGTGAAGCTTGATTCTATGTCAGGTCTTCTGGTCTCTGGTATAAATTGGTGCCCATTTTCGGAGGTCAGCTCACACTCTTTCTGATTTGTTTCAGTGATGGATCCCATTACACAGCCTTTCGAAAAATAATTAAGATGTTTGAATTTAAAGTACATCACGTAAAGATATTTCATATAATGAATCATGTGTATAGATGAATTTTAGGTCAACCTTTTAGAGGGTTGTAGTACCTCATCTTTTTTGAGTTACTCTGGGGTGAGTCCAAGGACCCATATTATTTTCTTTATATATAAATAACATCTTTGATACTGTTCATAATGCTATCATCTTTATGCAGATGATACCACTAATACTGTACGTGTTACCAGTCAGCTTTTGACATTGTAGTCAAGTTTGTGTGAATTAAAACTATAAATCAAGTTTTAAAGTCTTAAAGTTCAAAGTTTAAAGTTTTATTTGTCCAAAAAATAAACAATATTTTTTTTTTTCAGGTAATCACTATAAGTAATCATAAACTTCCATTCAATGTTTAGAAAAAAATACCTTACCTTAAAGCAGCAAAGCCCTAAAAACAAGTTGAACATATGGTGGTTGCCGAGCACATCTTTAACTTTTTCCTCTCCTTCAGCCTTCCATACATTAATAGCAGACTGACTGTGTGAAAGTGAAGTCAATCTCTTTGTGCTGAGCTCACACTGACCATGAACTCATTTAGCACACATTTCTCATTAGAAAACCGAGGCCAGACTAAAACTTTATGAATGTTGCCTTCAGGCGTTTGGGATTCAACTGACTGGCAAATCACAATGCATTCATCTGTACAATTCTCTATCGTCCAATTACGAGGAGAAAGTTATTTCATTATTTGTGCTGTCGCTGTGCTTCATGGCGCCACCCACAGGACAGAGGGAGAACTGCAAGTCAAAAGTCACAGATACTTGTTCTTGATACGTAAAGCCATTAGTTTTTAATAGCAATGTTTTTTATATCGGAGATTATAAATGTACTCAAATGTGTTTTTAATTTGCTCTCATTTTCTTGTTTTTCTTTGATTAAAATTACGGCTTTTCATCATTAGTAACCAAAAAACTGTCTTCAGCGTATAATTTAAACGTTCGTGTATATATATAAAACATATGACAATATTAAAATACATGTAAAAAATACAAAACGTAAATGTTTGGGCGAAATAGACATCTGGCGATTTTTCCACATGCATTTATTATGAAATTCACCCTGAGACGCAGACCGGAAATTCTCTTGACTGTGTGTGTGAATCATGTGACTCCAGCACAGCCCCTCCCCTCTCTGACACTGTTCAGTAAACCCCCAAACAGACTGATCTAATGGCAGCTAACTGAAAATAGAAGTCTGTGTTGTTTCTATCACGATGGCTGTGGATTCGTTATCTCCCGATTGGGAGTTTGACCGCTTTGATGATGGATCACAAAGTAAGTAACGCGTCTTATCGGGATGATATTAGGAACGTGTAAAAATCTGTAGATCCTCCTGCAGTTAGCTGAGTAACGTTAGCCAGCTGTCAGATGACCAGGGAAAGTGGCCAAGTTCAAACACTGATTAGAAATGATGTGTGTGGGCTATTGATTAAACAAACATTTGATAAGGAAGACTTTCGCTTCCATTTGGAAGTGTCTACACATCATTGGATTTGATGTTTCGATTTCTTGTAATGCAAAAATAGGTAATTGGTTTAATTAGTCAGTGAATTAAGTGCTCAGAATATCTATATTTTTTCATTCACATGATATTATTTGATTTAAGTTAGATGTACATGCCAAAACTCTGAATACAATACATGAATTATTTTGGTCTATAACAGGGGAGGGCAAACATTACAGATCTAAAGACCCCCCATCCAGATGGATAAAATAGCTATTAATTTATTCAAGATATCACCTTATTGTAATTTAAGATAATGACATTTCATCAAAGTTAAACATGAATTTTGAACAATATCCGTTCTTCTCCTTCGTTCAGGACAACTTTGATTAACTTTTTTGATCCACTTCATATGTTGACTACTGTATATATAAATATTCATGCTTATTTAATTAAATAAAAACATGTACAAATAAAGAATTTCCTGTCACCCAAATAAGGAAGGAAATCATTTGGAGCTTTTATTGCTGGTGTTGTGACTGTTGATCTGTTGCATTTTGGTTCCTTCCTGTGCAGAAATTCACACAGAAGTGCAGGTTAAAAACTATGAGAAGTTCTTAGAAGAATATACCACTCAGCTCCAGGGTATCGAAGAAGCCCTTGACGACTCTATCGGAGATGTGTGGGACTTCACTCTGGATCCCATCGCTTTGAAGGTGTTTTGTAATTATTATATCTTCATATCAGGGATTATTTCTTGTTGAATTACATTTATTTAAGATCACCGTCTTTGCTCTTCCACACCAGCTCCTGCCGTATGAACAGTCCTCACTGTTGGAACTTATCAAGACAGAAAATAAGGTCTGATAATAATAATTATTGGTTCAACAATGTGCTGTTTTAGATGCTGCTGTTTGGTGGACTGCAAATCTGAAGTTAAATTAGTGTATCATGAGTTTACCTGTTGCTTTTTTCCCTCTCTCTCTCTCTCTCTCTCTCTTCACCAGGTGCTTAATAAAGTCATCACAGTGTATGCAGCTCTTTGCAGTGAGGTTAAAAAACTGAAATATGAGGTAAGTTGGAGACTGGAGTAATAAATGAAAATAGTATAAGAACATACAAAAAGTATGCATTAAATTGAGCAAAAGTAAAGACATTTAAAAATGTAGCAAAATATTTGTTTTTCAGTTGAATAGAAAGTCCAAAGAACAGCGAAAAATATCCACAAAAATATTAATGGAGTAGTTCACTTTAAAAAAAACAAAACTTTTGCTTAATTTACTCACCCCCATGTCATCCAAGATGTCTGTCTTTCTTTCTTTAGTCGAAAAGAAATTAAGGTTTTTGGTAAAAACATTGCAGCATTTTTCTCCATATAATGCACTTTACTGGGAACCAAACCGTTCAAGGTCCAAAATTATTTTCGACATGGACATCTTGGATGACATGGGGTTGAGTAAATTATCAGCAAAACTTTTTTTTTTAAAAAGGGAACTTCTCCTTTAAGCAGCATAACTGCTTTCAGCATTGAAAATAATAAGAAATGTGTTTTGAGCTGCAAATCTGTATATTAGAATTAGATTATATTAGATCATATTAGATTTTTGAAGGATCATGTGATGATCAATGATGCTGAAAATTCAGTTTTGCTATCACAGGAATAAACTACATTCTAATATATATATTATATATAAACAACTGTAATAATATGTCACAATATTGCTGTTTAAATAAATAGCACCCTCACTGGTGAGCATAAGAGACTTATTCAAAAAAAATAATAATACCAACACCAATCTTTTGACCAGATGATTATAAAGTCAATTAATCAGATATAAACGTGCTACTTTTGTGTATTTTTAGGCTGAAACCAAGTTCTACAATGGCTTGCTATATTATGGTGAAGGAGGTAACAATTGTTGTTTTGGTTTTTGATGTTCAGTTTACAGCTTGTGTTCATGATAATCAACATTATTCCCATTTTAGTTCAAAGATCATATATCTGAGTGGATATTAAACAGGAAATGATTTTATCCATTTGGGATTGAATGCTATTCATGTTTGATGTTAATTTGATTGAGCTAACCTGTAGCTTTTAATAACAATACAAATGTATTGTATGACGCTTTGAATTTGATGACTCCATCTGATTGGATTGCAGTGTCAGACACTAGTGTGGTGGAGGGAGAGTCTCAGATTCAGATGGGCCGCTTCATTTCCTTCTTACAGGTTTGACATCATGATCTTTTTGCATTCAAAAAAAATGAAGAGCCCTAAACACAGATTTATTTATTCTGTTTATATGTAACAGGAGCTGTCTTGCTTTGTGTCACGCTGCTTTGAGGTGGTGGTCAACATGGTTCACCAGCTGGCTGCTTTGTATAACAGCAGCAAGTGAGAAGTTTACATATTTACTTGTTATGTAGTGTTACACGAATTCTGTCTTGCTGAATTATTCTTTTTTTCCTATATCTCAGGGGTGCAACAAAAATCATTGAGTCCACAGGTGTACACTTTCAGGTAATTTCCATCTTCATGCGGTTCCTCACTGATACGTGACATCTTGTAGTGACGGTTTCTCTTTGTCTACAATCAGGCAGTGTACGAGCATCTGGGAGAACTTCTGGTGGTCCTCATCACTCTGGATGAGATCATGGAGAACCACGCCACACTGAGGGAACACTGGAAGATGTATAAAAGGTGGAGTGGGATCATTTAGATGTTGACATTAATGTGAATGAACTGAAATTGAATACATTTCATTTAATAAAATGCATCTCATGAATGCATTTATGAAATGTGGTGTTTCACGTTGGGGTTTTTGATGAAAAGATTTTCTGTGTTGTTTTCTGAAGGTTATTGAAATCTGTCCATCATAACCCGGCTAAGTTTGCCATTCCAGAGGAGAAACTGAAGCCCTTTGAGAAGCTTTTACTGAAGCTGGAGGGGCAGCTGTTGGACAGCATGATCTTTCAGGTCAGCACCATTCAGTTTTATTTGCATAGTAAAATAAATACTGTAGCTGTAGTTTGCCTTTAATTCCAATATTAACCAATAATATTGTCAGAATAGGGCTGTCAAACAATTAATCGAATCCAAAATAAAAGTTTGTGTTTACATAATATGTGGGTGCACTGTGTATAATTATTATATATATATATATATATATATATATATGCACACACATGCTTGTATATATTTAAGAAATATTTTCATGTATATACTGTGTGTAGATTTGTATATAATTTTGTATGTAATATATAATACATAAATATAAATATTTTATATATAATTAATATTTTTGTGTGTATTTATATATATATATATATATATATATATATATATATATACAAAATAATTATACACAGTGTACCCACATATATTATGTAAACACAAACTTTTATTTTGGTTGCAATTAATCGCGATTAATTAATCGCATTAATTGCATCTAACATTAAAGTTTGTGTTTATATAATATATGTGTATGCAATATATATATATATATATATATATGTGTGTGTGTGTATGCAATATATATATATATATATATATATATATATGAGTGTATGTGTGTGCATGTACTGTGTGTATATATATATATATATACACACACACACACACATTCAGACTCACGCATTCACACAAAATATAAATAAAATATATATATATACACACACACACAAGTATTATATAAACAAACTTTTATGTCTGATGGGATTAATCGATTTAACTGCACACAATATATATAATATATATTTCACACTAATATGTATACATTTATTTATATATATATATATATATATATATATTCTCTTTCATATATCATTCTACTGAATTATTGGTCAAATAGTGGTCAATTATTGTGAAATATTCATGTTTTCACATCATACCTGCACCACTCTATATTGGCTGTTGGTTAATAAGTGTTTTTTTCCCGTTTTCATGCAGGCTTGTGTGGAGCAGAGGTTTGATAACCCAGAAGAAGGTGTATCCGTCTCTAAAAACACTGCCTTTGCAGAGGAGTTTGCGTATAATATCAGAACCATTTTTGCCAACATTGAGTCAAAGCTTGGTTTGTATATGTTTTGATTTCCAAACAGCATTAATGAGACTTCGTTTTAGCTGTAGACAACTGACAACAGTCATGTGACTTTGCAGGTGAGCCGTCAGAGATCGACCAGCGGGATAAGTATACGGGCGTATGTGGTCTCTTCGTGCTACACTTCCACATCTTTAGGGCAGTGGACAAGAAGATCTACAAATCCCTGATAGATGTGTGTAAAAAG